CCAATCTCTGCGATATGGGATACTATTTGTTCTATGGAGGAAGATAGAAAACTCTTCGACGGAATGATCTGGTCAATTATGGTTGACTACACCTTGAAGAGGAAGATACAATATTTCAAATAGAATTGGCTAAGAGGAAGTGTCTATTATGGAACATCACTTATTTATGGAGGAAGATGGGAACCACTACGTGGAAAAGGAAATTTGCTCTCACTTAACGGTGTGTCCACTGCCAATGTTTGAATTATAATGTCTAATTTTTACTATTTGAACAAATAGTGAGATTATGGTGTTTGTTTATATACATCATTCATTGTTGGACTACTATAGCAACTTTATTGGCATGCAACAATTTCAAAGGAAAATTGATGTACTTTGGATTGGAAATTAAGTAATGAAACTCCCTTGTGGAGGAAAAGTATTATTGTTATAGAACACTCTATGCAACTTCAGTGAGAAGGTATTTGATTTATTGTTCTATCTTGGAGTCTATTGACTATGCCATTCTATTTGGAAAAGGAAGAGTGAAATATTGCTCAATGGTAAAATTAGTGCATTGTGGAATTTTGTACAATGATCTCTTATTTGTTGATGGTCCAATGAATGTTGGCAACCCAAACTGTTTATTTTGGGGAAGATAACTCCACATGGAGGAATACCTACAATGGGAACACATGCTTGGAATATTTCTGTCATGGACAACTTTGTCACATATCATGGAACTAAATCGAGTGGCTCACTAATTCTGGAATTCGAAACTTTAGTGGGAGGAATTTGATTTTCTGAAGCATATATATAATGGGTATTGGAACTTATACTTCTTGCCTGAAGGTGGAAATAAATGGTAATAAACTTCGTGTGATTTTATTCAAATATAGTTATGATTGTTTTTTTACTCCCACTGAAGGTTAGATTATTTATTTCGTCTCACTCTTCGATGATTACACTTTTATATGGTTATATTTATCTTTTATTATACGAGTTGGAAGGTTTTATTGTGCTGGTCACATGTTACACTTAAGTGGAAAATCAGTTGATTCAATAATATCATAGTTTTAACAACTGATTGGTGGGGGAAGTACACTTCAGGAATATATCATTTGTATGTAAAGAGCATGGAACTATTCACCAGTGTAATATACCATACACTCCACAATTGAATGGAGGAATTGATTGTCTTGGATACTCCCTTGTTTCTTTGAAAAGAAGCATTGCATAAGGTCATTTGTTGATATCATTATCCATCTAGTACAATCACTTGACTGGAAGGAAATATTCTATTTTGGCATGAAATTCTCAGTTATTACAAAGCGCAGAGAAATTAAGGGGTAAACCGCAAACCCTAAATTTCCAAAGACAACGGGTGCCAGCGCTGTCGGAGCAGCCCGCTGGCCGGAAGGATGGGCAGACGATAACGAAGCACCGAAACGGAAGGGTCCAGCAGCAGCACCAAAGCCGGCGGGTGGCCCGGGGTTCAGCGTCGCAACTCCGGCCAGAGGAAGCCCCTTAGGCGCGTTGCCGTTCCGGCCAGCCATGAGCTGCGGCGATGGCCGACGCAGGGCAGCAGCGTACGTTGGCGGCGCAGTCCGAGAGTACGCGCAGACGGAGGTAGTATCAAGGCGTAGATGCGTTCGGCGAAGAAATACGTCGGCCCTTCTGATAGTACGTCCCAAACGAGCAGCCTGGCCCTTGCTGGGCCCTTCAGCATGCAAAAGGCCCATGGGACGAAGCGTTGTTTGACCGGATGCATGATCGTTGCATGCATGCGTTGCCGCGAGCGTTACGGTCCCTTGACTTTGCTCCACCGAAGATGACGGATCGGCCAGCGCATCCGGCATGAATGCGGCCAGCGCCACCGGCGGCGTGATCCGCGGACGGGGGAGTGGCCCTCTCCAAGGCTTGATGCATACCCCTCGGCGCTGCCTTGGTGTCGCCGGCGACGGATTTGGCGATTTCGGCGCTCCATCTGGCCGAGCGGACGGCTCCTGAGACGAACCCAGGCACTCCTGGCCGGCTGATGTCGCTGGGGACGCGGAACCCCGACGTTCCCATACTCGCGAGACACGGAGGTCCAAAATTCCTGCACTAGCTCCTCTTTTGATTTCTTCCGGCGAGACACGGAGGTCCAAGGACCGCCCTCTTCCTCTTAATCTGCTTGGGAAAGGACCATATTTGCCGCCTAGACCGCCACCCCCTCCGCTTCAGGCAGATCGGCGACTTCGTCCATGGCCAGGGGCTCAAAACGTGATCCCGCAGTAGGCGACTTTGCCGCCGAACCAGAGCCAGGATCAATGGCCCCCGGCGCCAAGGTGAGCCTGCGCCGCGCCAGGAACACCGGTGGCCAACGTGAATGAGGCAAAGGTGTCCCATTAATTCTCCCCCATGCGCCTCCTGCAACAACAAAAGATGAACAGAGCTAGCAGGAATGCATAGCTTGTTAGCACGGAACACAAAGCCATCATTAATAACAAACTTATTCCATGTTTTTCCTTCTTTACAATTCTGCATTACATCTTTAAAATCAGCATCATGCACATATTGATCTTTGATGGTCTCTAAACCAAATATTTTGAAGTCAAGTTGTGAAAGCATAGTATAGCGACGAGACAAAGCATCAACAATAACATTTTCTTTACCCTTCTTGTGTTTAATAACATAAGGGAAAGTCTTAATGAATTCAACTCATTTAGCATGTCTACGATTCAGTTTAGCTTAACTTTTAATATATTTCAAAGATTCATGATCAGAATGTATAACAAATTCTTTGGGCCATAAATAATGTTGCCATGTCTCTAAAGTCCGAACAAGAGCATATAATTCTTTATCATAAATAGAGTAGTTTAGACTAGGCCCACTCAATTTTTCAGAAAAGTATGCAACAGGTTTGTCATCTTGTAATAACACACCTCCTAATCCAATTCCACTAGCATCATATTCAATTTCAAAAGTCTTATTAAAATCAGGAAGTTGGAGTAAAGGAGCATGTGTCAATTTATCTTTTAATACCGTGAAGGCTTCTACCCCAAACAAAAGGCACATCCTTCTTTGTAAGCTCATTGAGAGGTGCAGCAATGGTGCTAAAATCTCTCACAAAACGCCTATAGAAACCAGCGAGTCCAAGAAAACTCCTCACTTGTGTGACCGTTTTGGGCTGCGGCCAACTCTCAATAGCTTTAATCTGGGCTTTATTAACTTCAATTCCCTGTGGAGTAACAACATAGCCAAGAAAAGATATTCGGTCGGTGCAAAAGATGCACTTCTAACGCGAATGAATACATAGGAGGCAGCTGGGGAGGGATGTGCCAAGGTTTCTTCACAGGTCCATGATGTGTGCTTGTGAAGATTTGATGCACACAAGCATATGTATTCGGTTCACCCTCATGTGAGCTAGTAGCCTAGTTGTACTCTTTACTACCTACCTAATGCAGTTGTGGATTTATCCGAGAGGGTGAGATGACTGACCTTGCCCGGGGTGATCAATCCCTTCTTCTCTGCATCTTCACTCTTCAATCATGGAGATTGCCGGCCTGGAATGGATCATACAACATACGTACATATTAATCAAAATTGGATACAGAGGCGGAGTTCTTCTTTCCTTCACAAACACTGATGGAAAACAGAGACGGTGTCGGAACCAGGCAGAACAATATGAGAATTAGCTTTAGTTGGTCATGTTGCAAGGAAAAGCCGACAGAGAGCTCTGTAGTGGCACATCACCGACCTTGAGAGGTGGTGCAAGTTTGTGCATAGCCGTAAAAGTCAAAAGAGCGAGGAGCACTAAACTTGTAGAGAAAACAATTGTGTGGGTGTTTTGTGCAAAATATTGCCTCCATGGCGTGCATGTCAACCAAGATTAGTCCTGCGTAGGATCTGTGGCAACGTAGAATCCGAGCAGAGATATTATACCTCTAGCATATACTCCCTCCGTTCCTAAATATTTGTCTTTCTAGACATTTCGAATGACTACTACATACGGATATATGTAGACATATTTTAGAGTGTAGATTCACTCATTTTGCTTCGTATGTAGTCACTTGTTGAAATGCCTAGAAAGACAAGTATTTAGGAACGGAGGGAGTAGTACTCTGCGTGGGTAAGGCGAGGCAGTGCAGAGTGAGTTGATGGTACAAGCAGATTCCTGAAAATTGAAGTTGATCGGATATGGATTGTGTGTATGCATTTGCATGGTGGATACATCAGCAAAAGAAAGGATAATATGGACGCAAATCACTTTCTGGAGCAGAGTACCCAAACCAGAATACAAATGCAGCATGTCAAACAGTTTGTTGCATTGCAGCTATATATATTGATATCACACCAGCAATGCAAATTATTCCGTATATTTCTGGGCTATGCCAACAACACCTTAATTAATTGCAGCCTTAGCCAGCAGGCTCGGTGATAAATTAACGGAATGACGGAACCAAAATGCAGACAACACATGAATAAAATTAATAGCGATTCATACACATCACACTTTCAGTAGTCCGTCAGCAAGCATAAACATGCATGCTATGCCGCTGAATTATTAATAATAAGACAGAAATAAATGAAACCAAACCAAACCAAACCCTTGTTAGTTCAAGCGCGTGCAATCACAGACACAAATCAAACATGCTCCAGACATAGCTTCAGACCAACACAATCTTGGCAAGTAAACATGCACAGACTTGAACCATTGCCGCTGTTGAAAGCAGCAAGACGTCTCACTCCCGTAAGACGTCACCACCAAACCTCCTACACACAAGAGCGAATGACATGACCATTTAATTTAATGAAAGCGGAGTCGATGGAGAGAATGGGTCGTCCAATGCACATATGAGAGAGTGTATGGATTACCCTACTTTGCTGCTCTGCGTATGTGTATGTATTTCATTTGTACGTTTGTATGCAACAACAATCTTATAGTGACTTCTCATATATCATGATACGTGCATGCATGAAAAAAGAAAGAAAAATAGGAAGAGCGCGCGTGTGTGTACCTGAGTAGTACGGTCAGTTCACCAGAGCACCGAGAATCTAGGCAGGGGCTTCTTGTAATATGATGAGTGGCGGGGATCATAGAGGGAAGGGTCATGGCTGGCCTCCGGCCCGTCCCACTCCAGCTTCTCCCACCAGTCCCTCTCGCAGTCCACGATGGGGCGGATGTCTCGGCTGACGGCTGGGACACGCCTGAGACCCCAGCATCCCCGGAGCCATATCCTCTCAAGCTTGGGAGCAAGCATCTTGACCTCACATATATGCTGCAACTTATAGAGCTCATACAGGTGGATGTGCTTCAGGTTTGGGAACTCAAGTACATTTTTTTTGAGGTCAGGATGAACAGGGAACACTGTATTTAGATCACCACAGTTGACAATGTGGAGACTCTCTAAATCTTTTCGGTCGTCGTTGGATATTGTTGTCAGGAACTCTGGCTCCACGGGGAATACCTTGTCGATATCACCACAACTAACAATGTGAAGGGTCTCTAAGTTGGGAAAATATGAGCCTGGAGCAGCCCATGATAATGGAAGCACGAATTTGAGCCTTGGACATGAGTAGAGGTGTATGCTCTGCAGATTCACGAAGGAACGGGTGTCCTTGGCACTGACAATATTTCCTCTGCTCCAAACACAGGATGCCATCAGCAGATCAGCCGCCCAAAAGTTCTGTAGTTCTTCAAAGCAAAAGATATCATAGTTAGTGGCGAAGACTGTGTCTAGCTTGGGGCATCTCTCCACACGGCACTGTTGCAGCCTAGACCATCTAAGTTTCTTATCTTCTATGGTCATTATACATTCAGGGATGATAGTGTTGATGGAATAATTATCGTGCACATGCAAACTCTCAGCCTTGTCCATCACAAATATGATAGCCTTGTTACCTTGTGTGCTCTCCATGCTAGTGTTGCTAATTCCTTCACCAATCTCCACATGGCGGGCTAACGGCTGAAACTTCGCTGCACTATTGTAGTCATGATCAATAGTTATGTTGTCCATAGAAAAAACATCATAACAGTGATTGGGGATTAATGACTTTGGTAGGGCTGGCCCCAATATATTCCCACAGTTACTAGAACCCATCTTTCCTTTGTTGCACCACTGTCCACTAGCAGAAATGCAAAGGTTTAGACTAAATTTATTTGTGCCCATGTTCCAAAACGTATTAATGTAAGTTGTTTGCGTCAATATCTGGATGAATTTGATGTCCACCATAGCAACATATGCTTGACAATGACCCTTTTTAAACTTCTCAAGATCTGGTGGTATTCTTCCGACCTCTTCTCCTCCTCGAGTGTCAATGCAGAGAAAACATAGTTGGGACATCTCCTTTTCTGGCCAAAGCACAGCACGAAGTTGCTCACATCCCAATAGCATGACTCGTTGGAGACATGGGACCTGCACCACCTGAGTTGTGAGGTCAAGTGTCTTGACTCCTGTGCCTGAGAGGTCCAGCTCCTCAAGGTTTGGAAGTGATCCCCTCAGTGTGAATTCAAACAATCTTGCACAACCAGCCAAGGAGATGCGGCTTATTTTGGCTTCCCTGTAATCATCTTTTCTTGGTCTTGCATCTAAGATGAATGATTCAAGTGATGGAGGGAGTCCTTCAACATGCTCCAAACCAAAACAACCATCTAGAACCAGAGTCTTGAGGCTACTTGATGTTGACAAGCTGGGCAAAACTGTGAATTCATCCTTTCTGCCTGTCTCCAAAGAGCAGCATGTAGGGTCAATAACTCGAAGCTTGTGAAGATTTTGTGGTTGTCCCAATGCAAAAATGATGTGCCAAAACCTTCCATTCTTTATATGTACTTCCCTAATGTTTGTAGCCATTTGCTTTATTATCTCTGGTGATGAAGGCAGATGCCAGTCTGTATTGTGTATGTCTATCACCCATAGGCTCTTCAAAAAACCCATTTCTTGCTTCTCATCCTCTTCTGGTCGTAGATCCTGGCAGCTATCTAATCCAAGGAATCTCAACTTGTGGCAACGACGAAAAGGAGGAGAGGAAAAACTGAAGGTGCAGTGGCATAACTTGAGCACACCAAGTTTGTCCGCTTGATGAAACATGTCATTAGGTAAGGGTCTTAATGGAGGATCTGATCCGCTTGCGACTGCAGCAAGGAAAAAGGACGTTGACTCTGGATGCACAACAGAGCTTTCCTTGGACATTAACCATCGCTTCGAAGGAGTCTTCAATTTATCACCAAAGGAGGGCAGTGCATTAGCTGAATAATCCTCTATGTGTATGTGTTGATGCAGAGCAGATGCAGCCTCCCATGCTTCTTCACCATGGCCTCCTTGTATAATCCCATCACAGACCCAATAGTTAGAAGCATGGGTGGCCCAGTCATAGCCCATGATATTGCCTCCTTGAGAATTCAATGACAACAGATACAAGCAACACTCGGTAGCTGCTTCACCAAGCTTATCTGTGTACCCAGCAATTTCTCCAGCCTCTATCTGAAGCAAAAAATTCCACCCCCGAAGACTGTATGTATCATAAAGAAAAAGATGGGAATCATCCACCTTCTCAGTAATTCGTGGGATGAGCCGAAGCCTGCCCCTGAAGGTCCACAATACTTTAGTAGTACCGAACCTTGCCGACAGAAGAATGCCAAAATCATCCAAGTCTATTGTGTTATCGCTCCCATTATGGAAGAGCACCAAGCATTTGTGTTGTCTTGTGGCCCGATGTATCTCTGCCCCAACCTCTTGTATCTCAGCTCTGGAGCTTTCATCTACCCCTCTGAAATCATCTTCTTCATCTTGCCTATCAAAAATATGCATTACCCGCCGAGGAAGCTTCAATTCTTGTGCGATTGTCTTCTGGAGTGCTCTTCTGCTTTTCCACCTAGAGCAGTCGACGTGGATGATCTTGTCAAATTTCTTAAGCAGAGATGGCGGAGGGTTTTCAGCAATGGCTCTAAGCACCGCCGAAGCAGCCAGCCCTTCACATCCATCAAAATAGATGGCCTTGTGTGCAGTACTGCTTGTATCCTCTAGATAAGGGACTATATTTCCCACCGCTCTTTCGATGGTGTCTGCATTAATCCTCTGCATAATTAGTTGACAACAATTAGTTAAGGTCAGTCACTTTAGCATTTTTCATCTACTAGTAACGTATATGCAAAAGCTGCACCTACTTTGTTTTTTTCTTTTTATGATTAGAGTCGAGAATAATTAATTAGACTGCATTACATGCATGGCCGTCACTCAGCATACATGCTATCCTCCCAGCTAGAAGTAAACTGCATTTCGGCCATACGATTTCAGTGTTTATGCATGTCTCCGTGGACTTGAGCATGTATGTCTGTGTAATTTGTCAGACGGGCCGTGTGTGTGTGTGTGTGTGTGTGTGTGTGTGATCTTGGACGTCCTTGTTTCACCCTCTTGGAGGAGCTAATTTACATGCAATTCATCTTGAACTACATATCACAACAATTAAGACAACCATCTCTGACATATATATAGTATAACATACCACCGGAAGAACTAGGCTAGGCTACTTTGTGAGAACTGGATGCATGAATGCATTCATGTGTACGCAGACAAATTAATACCTCTCGAGGCATGATAACTAATTGTTTGAGTGAAGGCCTTGCAGAGACAAGAAGCTCCAGAAATCTAACCCATCGATCGATCGGCACTGGCCTCCAGATGAATCAATTTGCAGCTGGCACCTACTAGTTATCAGAAGAGAGTAATTGTTAGTCGATGCATAACTAGAATATATATATATATATATATATATATATATATATATATATATATATATATATATATATATATGATGAGGTTTATTAATAGTATTGACAGTACAAGAGCCGTATTAATAGTCTTCTTGACAGTACGTACCTTAATCGGAAAGTAGGCTGGCTGGCTGGCTGGCACAATCTATTGCTTAGGTCAGTTGAAGGGGGAACAATGGATACAGAAGATTTGATGGTCTTTGGCTTTTGGTTTGGCCAAAGCATACATGTGTAGCAAGCTGGTTCTTTGCTTCAGGTTGGAGCTACTTATTAAAGAATAAAGATTGAGCTGTCTGCTTCTTCTTCCTCCTTTTTCTTTTGCTTTTGCTTTTGCTTTTGCTTTGAATAAAGCAGGTTGGACTGGATTCCAAGCAGTATCGAAAGGTGTGCGGGAGGCAGGACTCACATATTTTTTCTTTTTTCATGAAAAACATAAGAAATAATAGTTATTTAACCACAACCATCACACTTCGGGCTAAGGCAACAACTTGGCACCACATTGAAGGCAGGACACAAAAAACCACCGAAAATGCGCCTAATGCGTAGTGACGCTCGAATTTGGTCATGAAAACAGCAAAACCGACAGGTGGGTCGGGATTAGGTGGCATGCTTGTGTGACAATATGTCGAGTTGGACGAGGGTCCGACTTGTCAATGACTCAAGTGTTTACTAGTTTTCACCTTTTTTTCTTCCTTGTTTTCTCTCTGGCATTTAGCCGAACAGGTTGTGAGCGCTGGACCATGGACATCACCCCATTTGTTCCCGCGACCATTCCGGTGCTTCCCCGGCCTATCCCCGCGCCGCTGCCGCTTCCTCCTTCTCCCTCCATTTGCCGCCGCCCCGCGCCGCCGCCGCTTCCTCCTTCCCCCTCCAGTCGACGCCGCCCCTTGCACGCGCCATTCCTCCGACGAACAGCGCCCGGCCGCCCACTGCCGCTCGGCGCCCACAAGGTGTTTGACAAAACGCTTGCAAGGTATGTATTACTTCAACTTCACATTTTTTACATGAATTTGGTGCATGGTGTTTGTAGTTTTTATAGCCTAGTTTAAATTGAACATTATACATGAGTTCGTCATATGATTCTTCGGAAGAAGAATTTCATATTGAAGAGGAGGATCTTGCAATGATCCTAGCTATCCACATCAATAAGAAACCGAAGCACGGTGGTTCGGTTATGGGTCGGCAGAAAATTTGAAGGGATAGGATCGATGCCCACAACTGATTGATGAGGCACTATTTTGCGGATAATCCCGTGTACCCGAGTCGTACTACCGACGCCGGTTTACGATGAGCACCGAGTTGTTCAGGCGCATTGCAGAGAAACTAGCGAGCCATGACCGTTTTTTCAGCAAAGGAGGAATGCCGCCGGAGAGCTCGGGCATAGCACCTTTCAGAAGGTGACAGCCGCCTTGCGTATGTTGGCATAGGGTATTCCCGCTGATCTAGTTGATGACCACTTGGCCATGCGTGAGAGTCAAGCCATCATGTTGTCAAGTGCTTCGCAGTCGGAATTGTGCAAGTGTTTGGCCATTGGAGATAAACAAAGCTCGCGGCTTCCCAGGTATGCTTGGTTCAATAGATTGCATGCATTGGAATGAGAAGAATTGTCCTAAGGCATGGCATGGGCAATTCCACGGCCAAAAAAAAGGGTTCCACTATAATCCTTGAAGCGTTGGCCATCAAGAGGCTTGGATTTGGCATGCTTTTTTTGGAATGCCTGGATCTTTGAATCACATCAACGTTGTTAATCGGTCACCACAGATGAATAAGATTGCAAATGATGAACTGCCATCGGTGCAGTTTGTAGCAAATGGTCATACATACAACTATATCTACTATCTTGCGGATGGCATCTACCCAAAGTGGCAAACATTTGTGAAGCCATTGAAAAAACTGGAAGGTAGGAAAAAATCTTGATTTCCGCAATGCTCAGGCGGCGGCTAGAAAAGATCTGGAAAGAGCTTTTGGGATTTTGCAAGCCCAATTTGCTATTGTGAGAGGACCGGCTAGATTTTGGAATCAAAAGATGCTTTGGTATATCATGCACGCTTGTGTGATAATGCACAACATGATCATCGAGAATGAGCGTGGCCAAGATTTAGACTACTCTCAGTATGAGCTCTTGGGACATCCCGTGCGAGTGCGGCGGAGGGCTTCCAGGGTGGTCCGTTTTGTTGCCTCCTATCATGCCATTCGACGTGCCAAAACGCATGATGATCTTCAGAAGGATCTCATCGAGGAGTGGTGGGCATGGAATGGCCGACAAAGAGCATCATGATTTGTGCGTTTGATGTGGTATTATTGAACTATTTGTTCTGTTGCAAGATAAACTATTTGTTTGAGTTGTAATAATAAAATTAAACTCTTTATTATTGATTTATTTTGTTTGTGTTTGATCTTCTTGATTGTGTTTGGAGTGCATATGTTGTTTGTGCGAGAGCGCGCGTGTAATTTTTTTGCAGCGGCTGATGTAACGGCTCGCGCGCGCCAAACTTTGAAGCGGTCGCTGGAGCAAGCGCTCCGCGCGTTGCGCGGCTGTTGGAGATGCTTTAAGTTGTTATCCTAGCCCCAACCATGATGGTTTTGGGTAAATAACTCAAAATAATATTGCCACAAACAGCGGTAGATGAAGTATATCCAACAATCTTCCATGCTGAAAATACATGTGATGCAGACCAACGATTCGAAGAATGCAAAGCACCATTGTTAGTACAATAGAAAAAGGAGTAACTGGAATTCACCTGAAATACCATCAATTGATTGGAAACAGCCAAACTGCACAACAGACTGCGCTGCTGATATGATGCATCTATTGATTGAATATAACCAGTGGCATAAATGATGAACATCCAGAGAGAAATAAGTTACTTAGACCATTAATAACATCAATCAATAGGTAAAAAGTGAAAGTTATTTTTTTAAAAAGGAGAATAACCCCCAACCTCTACATCTGGAAGATGCAAGCAACCATTTTATTAATTATTCACAAAGACCCTATAAATTAGTACATCAATATGTCTGAATCAGCCTTTTGCAACATCTGCCGTTACTCCTATCCAATTGATGAAGGGGTGCAGTAAGTCTGTGCTGAATACCAAGATCATTCACCTAAGCCTAATATCTGAAGCCGGAGGCCCCAACCAAGCCACATATCGGGTGTGGGGCAGAAACCGGTCCGATGTACTCTCATGGGTCATCCCCACCATCTTTCACCGATCTCTTCAGAGCAGGTACTGACACATCGACCTTGTCAGGAATTCCGTCGACACCGCAGAGGGAGTCCTGGATTATGGTGTGTTCGGATAGCCAGACAATACCTTCGGCCGGACTCCAGGACTATGAAGATACAAGATTGAAGACTTGGTCCCGTGTCCGGATGAGACTTTCCTTGGCGTGGAAGGCAAGCTTGGCGATGCGGATATTCAAGATCTCCTACCATTGTAACCGACTCTGTGTAACCCTAACCCTATCCGGTGTCTATATAAACCGGAGGGTGCTAATCCATAGGACAACTCCATCATACAACAATCATACCATAGGCTAGCTTCCAGGGTTTAGCCTCCTTGATCTCGTGGTAGATCTACTCTTGTACTACCCATATCATCAATATTAATCAAGCAGGAGTAGGGTTTTACCTCCATCGAGAGAGGGCCCGAACCTGGGTAAAAACATCGTGTCCCCTGTCTCCTGTTACCATCCGGCCTAGACGCACAGTTCGGGACCCCCTACCAGAGATCCGCCGGTTTTGACACCGACATTGGTGCTTTTTATTGAGAGTTCCTCTAACGCGTTGCAATCAGGAAGGATGCCTCTTCCCGTCTTTAAAGACGGCACCGTTACTAAGGAAGCCTTGGCTGTCGGCCAAACCCTTCGGCTAGGTGGTTTTCTCATGACCGCCTATTCGGCCGTTGCGCCGACGGTGACCTCTCGGGTCATTAAAAGCAATCTTCACGTCAGCTCGGAACTCGTCGAGCAGCTAGATCCAATTGAGCTCTCTTCCGTAAACGAGCTCTTGGATCGCATCGCCGCCCTTGGGGTCACTACGGATTACGACCAGGTTGGGCTTAAACCCGATCTAAGAGAAATTAACTCTCCCCAAGTCACCCACCACGTTGCCGTGGTAGAGGTGCAGTGCGGCGACCCTTCATCTATTTTAAGGACTGCTACGTCCGAATTTCCGACCCCTCCAAGCCGGATACCCGCAGAGGGGAGGATGTAACTCAAGACCTGAGCTTAGGATCAGGCAACGGGCTAGATTCATTGGACAACATCCAAGAATACGAACTTTAGAGTTCGGAAGCTCTTCGGCCTCCGAATCTTAGATTGGGTGAGGTTTCAGATTCAATGCCACCCCGCCCGCCCAAACATAAGCGATCTTTCCTAAATTAGGCAAAAGCCCGAGGAAACAGTACATCATTACTGGGCTAGATTCCTCCTGGTTATGAACAGGATAAAGGATTGCCGCGAGGGAGACGCAATCTCAATTTTCTGCAGTAATTGCACGGACGAGGGAATCCTTAACGCCATAAGTCATCGTGATATTACACGCTTTGCTGACTTGGCGTCCATAGTACAAAAGTACTGTGCGATGGAAAGTGCCTGGAAAACCGAAATAAAATTTTGGGATAATCCGTCCTTGAATAGCAATCCCGTCCGAACTAAGAGGGTGCATCATCGTCAGACACCCGGGTTAAACACCAAAAAACCAAAACCCTCTACAGGGCATGGAACCGTACTGGAAAGATGGCTTGATGGACCCTGTAAAATTCACAGTATAGAGGACGCCACACCAACTCACAGCCTTAGAGCATGTTGGATACTCC